GAGATTTTTATTTCCTTTCAGCTGTCAGATAAAAGAATAGAAAAAAAAAAAGCACTACCATGAAAATACTATGAAAGCCATGGGCAAACATTAAATGATTAAGCAATTTTTTTTTAATTTTGACTCTTTTGAGATAGTTGAGATTTGGGGATTTGAGATGTTTTAAAACCAAAACAGATTGAGGCTCACAAGCATATCTTCTGGGATGCAGTTCTGCAGAAACACATGTTACCTGATAGAGTTAATCAGACATACTTTTGTCTTAGCCTGAAGAATCTGAAGTCCAGAGAAGAATCTGCTGCCCAGAGTCATAAGCCAGGGATTGGTAGCACTCAAGTGTAAGGCATTAGACCAACTTTTTTCCAGTCCAATCTGTTTTTCACCAAAACTCTGTGGATATCTATAGTCTTTTTCTGTTACTCATGCAAATCATAGCTAATTTTGAATGTGCTGTAAATTAATAATTCTGCATGCATTCTTTTCCATGAACTTCTTAAGAAGTACACAACTTAGTTACTTTTGTAACTAGTATTCTGTCAAATTCATCAGTTGACTTCTTTGTCTTCCTGAGAACACGTCCTTCTTCTCTCCCTCTCTTGCTCCCTTCCTCCCACCCTCCTTGCTTCCTCCTTTCATTTTTCTGTGTCTCCTGTTCCATGTCAATTTTCCTTGCCCAATAGACATTCTCCCCTGTATTTTTTCTTGTGTGGGTTCTTATATCATACCTATTTTTTGCTTTGTGTTCATAAATTTTAGGGGGCGTAAAGGGCATATTGGTATCACTCTCATTCCACTTTCATATATGGATACATATACCTAACATGCTGCTTTTAATTGCCATAACAATATGTGTGGGCACAATTACATTTACCTATCCATTTGCTAGTTGATGCCCCAATGGCCTTCAGTTCTCACCCATCACCAAAAAATGCTTCAATATATATCTGCAGACGTCAACCTAAAATTTAATGAGAGAATTCCGTGAAGATATATCTGCCTAAAAAAGAATTGCTGGTCCACGGTGTATAGTGTAATTATTTTGTCATGTAGTGTTGAATCGCTCACCAGAATTGCTGTGCAAATATGTAGTCCCATGTATAATGTGTGAGGTTTCTGCACTTATAAATACCCATAGCATTTGACTTTTTTGTTCATTTTTATAATTTTTGCCAATGTCCATTTTGTGAGAAACTTTGAAAATTTTAATTAAAACTAGTAGCTTCTTGATTTTGATGGCTAAATAAATAGCTCTGTCAACAGACAGAATGTTGAGGTTTTTTATGCATCTGAATGGCAAGTATTATCCATAAAATAGGTTTGGAATTACCTTGTTGATAAAAAACACAATTAAAATTTGAAGGTCACACAATTTGAAGGTCATCATTAAAATGTGAGCAGATCTTCCCTGCCCCAACACCTGGCTCAGTTTATATCCTTCTTGCCAACACCATGCTCTTTTTCGTGAAATGCTAGTTAGCCATCAAAGCTTGGTTTAAAATTGACACCCTGCTTTATGCCATGGAAGTTTTTTAACCCTACTCTAATTTCAGCAATTATTACAAATCATCAGAGTTAGTCTTCTACTTTTCTGTGCCCCTGACTAGCATGTGAATCAGCATGGTATAAGGTGTCTTTGTACTCTTACTACCTTTAATCCAACTTAATTAATTATTCTAGTTTACTAATATAACTCATTAATTATTTTGTGAATGTTAAGTTATAGCAATTTATACAGTTAGCATTTCCATTTTATCTAAGTACAGCAGTAGTTCCTGATTCTGTAAAGTCTTTAGATTAAAACCATCTTCTCCAAGTTCTAAACTGTGAATTGTTGAAATCTTAGCACATTACTGATTTAAGGACTGGATCAGGTTCAAAACTGCTTCCTGGAAAATCTGAGCTTTGCCTGAAAATATTTGTAAGCTCACCACAATACCTGTGTCTGGTAATCTTCCAGTCTTGCAAGAATACTGGGCAGGCTCCTTCAATGTGTCCGTGAAATGGTGCCTTTCACCACCATGTCATCTGGCTTTCCAGTGTGTCTGCACACCACTGGCTGGAAAATAAAGCTCCAACTTCTTACTAAGAAACATTAACCTGGAACAGAAAGGCAGTTCCTATCAAAAAATCAAATTTGAGTAGTTATTTTTAAAGATTTTTTTTGAGGGAAACATTTTCTCATGTCTGTTAAGTCATTTGCGATTCTAGCCACTGGAAGTTTATGCAAATGCTGTGCCTTTTTACCAACTTGTGATTGGAAGAGATAAATTAAGCAAACCCCAAATCCCTGAATTTCTATGATAGGATACTATCTATACCAATTAGTTTTTCTGGGAAGAGCCAACTATACCCAAAAGACTTGGGGGACTCAAGGCTTTCCTTGCTTCCTCAGGAATTGTATCTGTGACTTGAAGATCCTCATGACTATAAAGTTATCAAGGCATTCATTCTTCTCATGCATAGATAGTTGGCTCCTAGTTGCATGCTTTTATTCTTCCCTGTAAGTTTTAAGGTCTGAGTTTGCTTCTTCTTCTTCTCTCTAAAGATTTCCTCCTCTCCATAGTTTTTTGTTTATGGTTCTCGAATCTTTCAGTGATAACTGCAGAACACTCAGGTAGTTTATGCAGCAACACTGTCTACAAATCTTAAAGCATTGATCAGTTTAAAAGTATTATTGATCAACCCACTGTGAACCAGAATTAAAGAAATCGCTCAGTTTCTTAAGCATAATGATAACTGGAAAGTGCCTGTGAAGAATAATACACAGAGCTTGGTATATGGTAGGTGCTGAAAGTCAATACAGTAAAATACCACTTAACTTCATCGATAGGTTCTTAGGAACTGTGACATTAGCAAAATGATATGCATCAAAAGCGGTTCCTCAAATGAGGTCTCACATTCAAAATAACAGGGATTGTTATTTTTCTCATTAATGTTGTAATAAAATCACCTTGAACAAAACTACTTTATCCAAGAACCTTCTCTATACTATCATAGGAAAGGGAGTCACCCAATTTCTATACTAAACTACAGAGTTTTGAAATCCCAAGTGAGAATAACCCCAAATCCCTTTATTTTAGTGAAAGTCCATGTGAACAACCCATGTTCTCCTATCAGTATTTCTTCCCCCATTTAGTATAGATGCGTTTCCTGTCATAGGAGGGACGGTGTCACAGAAGTTCTGTTTGGGAAATAAATATAACCTTTTTGCAAAGTCCCATAGTGCATGTCAAATATCAGTGCTGTGAGAAACAGATACAACCTTGAATGAACCTTATGTGTGACTCAAAGGGGTGAATTTTCCACGTTTACTTCTATCCTATGAATACAGATGAGTGAATGAAATGAAATATTCCTTTATTATAAATTACTACTTGCTGCCAGTTAACCTTTAAAAATAATTTTACTTCTCCCTACCTCCTTTTTTCTTGTTCATTTATATGTTCTAAATTTATATATTCTTAAAGTTATGTTAAAGTGATACTAGTGTAACCAGAATAGTAGCTTATCATTTTAATTAGAGTAAAACAATTGTTGATAGTTCCTAAAATTGTAACCCTGCAAATTGCAATGATAAAATATTTTCCAACACTCTTTATGGTGGCAGTTTAGACAACTAACTTTACTTAAGTAAAAAGCTAATTATAAAGTTACTATAATATTGTTTCAATGTACCTCTTGATTTCCATGCATAAATATGGCTTACTCTTTGGAGGAAAAAGATCTGAGAGCTTGGAGTTCCAAGTTGCAATGAGAAAACTCCACATTTAACCTTCTGCTCTCTTATTATGTTAAGGCTACTACTCATCTCCAAACAAATGTATGACTGAGGTGATGTTTTGGAATAACATCCTGTGTTTTGGTGGTGCATCACTCTTCAGTGACATTCTGAGGTTGCATTGTATTAGCACATGATATTTTCCTCAGTTAATTGATATCCCAGGTTTGTCCAGGGGAAAATCTACAGCTCCCCCAAACATGCTTGACAAGTTATTATATTTACTTAAGTCAAAGCCCGTGTGTGCAATATCCCTCTTGGAGGTGGTCTATTATTGGAGTCCCATATGCTTTTTGTTTGGGAAGAAAGCAGTCACTGTGTCATACTGTTACATGGAGTATTCTTTTTCAGGGATGTTGTTCCCTTGGGGACCATATCAGGCCAGAGTTCCCTAGTCTAATAAGACCTTTGTAACTCTTATTGTATGAGTTCTGGGAGGGAAGCAAGAGTTAAACAGAAAATGTAATTCAAGCAACCATATTAGGCCACATGTGGGAAAACATGACTCTAAGTATTGGATTAAATAAAGGTATGTGTTGTAAAAAGGACTGTGATGCCAAAATGTTCAAGGTATTTCAGTGTAAATGAAGGCTATTGTAGAGAACTCATAACATGTAACATTTCCTTTCATTTATAAATATGAATGAATGAAAAAAGTTGTACATGATTTTTTTTATATTAAAAATGTCAGTTATAATAGAAGTCTTATATGTTGGTATGCAATCTAAGGTTTTCTTGTGTGAGTTTTCCTATCACTAAAATGACAATAAAAAAATAAATGAAATAAAATGACAATTAGCCCTCACAAAGATCATGATTTATAGCACTGATTATACATGTTTATCACTCAGTAATACAAAATGTATATATAAGATGCAATCAGTTTAATTCATGTACTTTACATATTGATGGCAAACACATTGTTCTATTCCATAAAGCTAGAATTTGAATAATGAATATTGCCAAATAAACAGACATTCTTCAGATTTTATATTTATGCCTGATAAAGAAAATTCTTTTTAAATTTAATTTTTACAAATAAATTTTGTATCTAGAAATCATAAAATGCTTATTTAAAAATGGAAATATTTTGACTAATTTTGATAATATAGTCTATTTTCTGAAATGTGAACATTTTACAGTAAAAATGTTCACAATGATGCTTGTAATACAGTATTTTGAGACTTCAATTTCATTTTCTTTTCTTCATTATTTTTAACAGCAGATAGTTTCACAACGCATTCTAATTCATGAAGATTCCATGAACCTGTTAAGTCTTTATACCTCTCCTTCTTTACCCAACATTACCTTGGGACTTCCAGCAGTGCCAGCCCAGCTCAATGTAAGTTATTGACATTGTTCCAGCCTAAACCAATTCTAGTGATAGTTTCATAGAGTCACTCTGGTTCATTCTTTGTATATTTAGAATTCAGAGACACTTGGTGGAGCCAACTTCTCACTGTTTACTACAATGTACAGTTTAATTTCAAATTAAAGAATTATACTGGGTGACACAATAACTCATGAAATATAGCTAACATTTGTGTAATGCTTTATAATTTAAAATAAGAAAGCACTCTCTGCATGGATTATTTTAGTAGCACCACACAACCAACCTATGAAACAGAGATTACAGGACACCTTTTGACAGAATAAGCTGAGACTTGGAAAGTTTAAAAGCCCAAGATCACAGAGTCAGTAAGTAGCACACCTAGAACTCAACTCAGGCCAGTGCTGAGAGGTGTAGTTTGTAAGGCATAGCAGCATATGTTTATAGAATTTATTTTGTGTATGACTTTATTTGAGGAATTTAAGTTACTGACTCTGAAGAATACATATCTGGAAAAACTCTCTAAGAACTATTCTCAGGAGATTCAAAGTGAATCAATTCTTTAAAAGTCCTGACAATTGAAATATGATCTTTTGGAGGTAAAATGTCTTACTGGCAGAAGATAGCAGTAATTATTTTATACATATTTCCTAAAAGATTTGTAAACTCTACCTAGAATAATCCATTCATGAAATAGTAGTAAATTAAATTAAGGTCATAGAATACATTAAATTTAAAGGGAATTTTGGTCTTTTTGTCACCAGTTTTGCCAATCTTTAGCAGCAAGTCTTCCACTGAGTTTGGTGTGTCAAATTCCTATCTTTTACAGTATCCCCATGTCAGAAAATTATAGCGTTGACTATTTTGTAACTGATTTCTTTTCAGAGTATAAGACCTGTATATGCTACGCTAATTTATGTAAAAGCACATCTATAGTGACATATTTAATAAAATTTATTTTTGTGTTCAATACATGTTATAAAATCAATTTAAGTGTGATCTTATTATATTTGGTATGTTTGATAGTGTATAATGATATTTTCTGTGATACAGTATTCTTATACCAGTGAGGACAGAAAAAAATTTAGATGTTGTTTCATATTGGGGATTTGAATAGAGGCTTAAAAATCCTGAATATAGGGCCTCCCCAGTGGCGCATTGGGTTAAGCGCTGCGCTGTGAAGCTGTCCATGTGGGTTGGATCCCAGCTGGCCGGCAAGAATCCCACATGGTGTGGCAGACCACCCCTGTCGCGCCAGCTGCTCCCCTCGGCAGTGTACTTCTATTGTCTGCATGTTGTGCTCCCTGCTGTATCTCTGGTGAATCCTCTTTCGCTCTCGTGCCTCTGGCCTGTACCCCAGCCCTTGTATAAAAATAAATAAATCTTAAAAAAAAAATCTCAAACTTTAAAAAAATAATCCTGAATATAGCTATATTCCTGAAATTCCACATGAAACATTTGTAAACAATTGGTGCTAGTGAAAAGAAAAAAGGAAGTAAGGATGAAACTAAACATAAATATACAGGGACAATATTTCAAATGTTTAGTTATTAAAATCTTTTTCTTCTATCCTATCTCTTCTGATGATAAACAAATACTAATACACGATCTTCTTATTGCATGCAAATAGGCATTTTTATATATTTTTTAAAGATATATTTATTTATGCATACAAGAGCTCGGGTACAGGCTGGAGATGTGGGGGCTGGGGGGTGAGAGGATTCACCAGAGACAGAGTAGGGAGCAGAACAGGCAGACTGACTGAAATACACTGCTGAGGGCAGCAGTGGGCAAGTCAGGAGAGGTCTGCTGCACCATGTGGGTTGCTCCCTAGCCGGCAGGGGATCAAATTCCTTCTGCAGAGGTTGCGGACAGCTTCGTATGTTGCATCATAATCCCTTGCACCACCAGGGAGGCCTCAAATAGGCATTTTAGTATTATTCCATTCTTTTTTGAATAATCTAAGTCACTCCTACCAGCTAACACAAACATACTCCACTTTTCATGTGGTCAGGAAAAATTCTTTTTCAAAGGACCAGGTGCTAAAGGCAGACCATTTAATGTTTCAATGGTAATACAATTTGGTACCATTGGATAAATAAACCAGTGTGGTTTGGATAGAAATTCCATTTTCTTTGCTTCCATTTTGGTGTAGATGAGGCAATCAAAATTAATTTTTCAAGTTTAGCATTGCTTTGGCAAAGAAATCTCTAATATTGCATTTCCCCACTGAATAGTGGGATTTTTTAAGGAAAAGAAGCCAGAAGAAGGAATCACTTCTAGATTAAACATTGCATTGACTTGTAGTGTGACTAAGAGAAACCATTTACCTCTTTGTTCTTCAATTTCTCCATCGCTGAAAATTGCTTTGCTTCCCTGGTGCACAGCAATTTTGAAAGATGAAACATGAGTTTTGAAAAGAAACATGCCACATAATTTTGAGGTATTAGACTTCTGCTTTTGTAATACCAAAATTACCACCATTCATTAAGTTCTTTGAGTAGGATAATTCATTATTACTACTGATGATATAATTATTATTGCCATATTACTATGTTGTCATACATTTCAAGTTTTTAATAGCATTTTTATTTGAGATCTAATTTCACTTGTAATTTACTTTATTAAACAAAACTATCTGGAGTGTCATTTTTAATATTTAGAGATATGGAGATCTGTTATGAATTAATATGAAATACATGTCTAGATCAAATTCCCGTATATTTTATGCAACCTTTCATTGTGTTATTTCAAGAATTTTATTTAAAAAATTAAATGCTGGAAATGTACATGTCTGTGAACATAATAGAGGACATAGAGAGAAAGACTGAATTCAAATTTAACAATTTGAATAAATTTTGCCTTTCAAATACATCTTAAGTGATGCATTACAATATTTTTGAAGTAAACTTCCCAGCTATTAAGTCTGATGTTAGCATCATTCTTAACATTACAAAAAAAACTTAGGGGCTCCCCTGGTGGCGCAGCAATTGAGCGCTGGGCTGCGAAGCTGCCCGCAGCCTCTGCAGCGCCAGTTCGATCCCCAGCTGCTGGCAAGGGTCCCACATGGCACAACAGACCTCTCCTGCTGTGCCCACTGCTCCCCTCAGCTGTGTATTTCATCAGTCTGCCTGTTCTGTTCCCCACTCTGGCTCTGGTGAATTCTCTCACCCTCCTGCGCTTCTGACTGTACCCAGTGCTTGTATAAATAAATAAATAAATCTTTAAAAAAAAAAAAGTTAAAATTCAGTGATGATGCCCCATATTAAACTGTCTCCAGCGTGCGACTCTATATTTATTTCTCCTTTATTAATGCAGTTAATTTAAAATACACACTGTGGTACTTTTTCCCCATTCAGTTGTTGAAGAAGGTAGAAGATTTGGGGAAGTTGGGGGGAGGTAAGAGTCATAGAATAAGAAATTAATTTGATGATGTACAGCCTTAAACCCACATGGATCAAAAGGATTTAATATCTTCTTGATTTCTTGAAACAGGCTTCAAGTTCACTCAAAGAAAAACAGAAGTGTGAGACCCAGACACTCAGACAAAGCGTCCCTTTGCCTGGGCAGTATGGAGGCAGCATCTCAGCATCTTCAAGCCATCCGCATGTCGCTTTAGAAGGAAAGCCCAACAGCAGCCACCAAGCTCTCCTGCAGCATTTATTATTGAAAGAACAAATGCGACAACAAAAACTTCTTGTGACTGGTAATTAATAATGGCACCATTTGCAAATCACTTTAGCGCTTTTATTTTATCAGTGATCCATTGTAATGTCTCTTTCACTTAAGAGTCTTGTAAAGATTTACAGTGGGAAAGGCTAGATATCTGAAAGGAAAGAAAAAAATCCCTCACCTGTTTAACTTTCATACATACCAGAGCGGACTACTGGTGAGTCATTGGTCAGACATCTACTGTCCACAGCTTTGGCACTTCTGCCTTCCCCCCACCCAAGTTAACTTCCTTCTGGTCTTTGCCCAGTGGTGTCAGTACTTTTTAAAAAAATATATCCCATATAGCTGTTTTCTGTGACTTCTTGTCTTTTCTTAAATAGAATTTTGTGTGTGTGTGTGTTAGTATGTATATATATATATATTTTTTTTTTTTTTCAGGTGGAGTTCCCTTACATCCTCAGTCTCCTTTGGCAACAAAAGAGAGAATTTCACCTGGCATTAGAGGTCCTCACAAATTACCCCGTCACAGACCCCTGAATCGAACCCAGTCTGCACCTTTGCCTCAGAGCACATTGGCTCAGTTGGTCATTCAGCAGCAACACCAGCAATTTTTGGAGAAGCAGAAGCAATACCAACAGCAGATCCACATGAACAAAGTAAGCCCCCAAACCATGTCAAAGTGTCATTCCACAGTTTGAAAATTGGTGTTTTCTTCATTGCTGTGGGTAGACAATAGGAGAAAGTTGGTACCCATCACAGTTGAAAGGAGAGTTCTATCCTAATCTGTAGTCAGGGTTCTGAGACACTCATTTTATTCATGGGAAATCTGTACAATATCATACATTAGAAAGGTCTGCTATGATTGTGTTCCTGTTTTAATACATTAGTGCATACAGGCACATGCGCAAAAATGTGCAAAATCCTCAGTTTTTTGGTATTGCAGAAAAGGCTTGAGTCAGGGTCAAATGTGGTAGACTTACATGTCAAAAAGTTTGCACAGGTGCAAATAATGACAAGGTTAGACAATAAGGTATTTTTCAGCAACTTGTAGGTATCCACGTTGTATTTATTTTTTAGTATGCCACGCTTCATTCCAAACAGTGTTCAAAGTAGTTTCTCAGAAACTTGTGGTAATTTCATTCTGGCAGCCTTCTTGTGGCTAGACAGCAAATGTCGGCATCACACCACATCCTTAGGAGTTCTCCTGCTGAGACAACCACACAAAAATAGTCATAAAAAAAAAAAAACAGTATAGGGATATCAGACAGACGGGTAATACATATTCTATGAACTTGTAAGCAAGACTGGTCTGTAGTTTTCTGCTGTGGTAGATTTACAAAGCAGAACTTTGTTAGTAATAGAATTAATTATTCATAGAGAATGTTAAGATCATAAAAATCAGGATTCTCTGTGCTCTTCTTTGTTATTGGGTCATCTACAAGTGTCTTTTACCTGATATATTGAGAAATGATGCACTGTTTACCCATAAAGAGCTAAAATTGGCTTAGTTTTTAAATGCTTGATTTACTGTGATATAAACGAAACAACCACCTCATGGGCAAAATTCTGTCATCTTTCTAAAGGCAATAAAAGAAAAGTGTCTTTAGGGGCCTCCCCGGTGGCGCAGTGGTTGAGCGCTGGGTTGCGAAGCTGCCCGAGGCCTCCACGGCGCTGGTTCTATCCCCGGCTGCTCCCCGGCCACCAGAGGAGGGTCCCACATGGCGCTCAGACCTCTCCTGCCGCCCGCTGCTCCCCTCAGCAGTGTACTTCGGTCCTTCTGCCTGCTCTGCTCCCCGCTCTGGCTCTGGTGAATTCTCTCACCCTCCCGTGCTTCTGACTGTACCCAGTGCATGTATAAATAAATAAATAAATAAATGTTTAAAAAAAAAAGTGACCCCAAAATTTAAAAAAAAAAAAGAAAAGTGTCTTTATCATGTGCTCACCTTATGGCAAGTGGGGCTAGGGTTTTTGTCTTCTCTTTGACCTCCATCTTAACAAGGCAGAGCCATGAGGGGAGCATCGGCTGAAGATCATATTATGAACAGAAATCCTTCCAGCCCCACTCTTTGCTAAGTTCAGAGATGATGTATATGTGTGTGACATTGGGTAGCCTGGGTGGCCGTGGCATCCCTATACTGCAGACTCTATATAATCAGATGAGTGACTTTTTTATTACTACAGAATTTCTCTAAGTTAATCAAATTAGTCTCATCAAAAGAGAACCAACTTCCTTCTTGTAGAATGGTTCAATACTCGTTGACTTGAAAGTGTCTCTGCATATATTTGCTATAGCATAATAGAAATATATTTGTTGGTTTTGTGGTCTATCAGTACTTAAAACTACCAGACATTCTTGAAAAGCTGTCCACTATTTGTAGAGTAAAATTTATATGTTGTTAAAATTATGAATGTTACTTTTTATCTACCAATAATTTGATCTGGAATTAGGTTTATTTATAGAATTGATATTGGATTGAAGAGAAAGATATACTTTCTGTACCTCAGTTCTATTTCCTAGAAATATGTGGATGTGTATATTCTATTATAGGTAAATTGACCTCTTTGAAATTGTGGTCAACAAATGATTTGTATGAATATCTTTAAGAGTATTTTGAAGTACAGTTTTTATGACCTGAGTTGCCACTGTTTCAGACTCAGATCATATGCTAATATCAGAATCTATATATTTTATTATTACACTTGAGATTTTGACAGGCGGATACTAACCTTAGTCGCATGGAAGAAACTAAGATGAAAAGCAGTCATTTGCATTTTAGCAATGAGAAAAGCAAATCTTATCAGTCTTTCTCCATGTGGAGCTGATTCTTTGGATCTGTTAAGAATTCATCCCAAAATTAGAAACAAACCTATACTTTTAGGTACATGTTTGTACAGTGGTTTGATTATTAAATCTTGTCTTAATTAGGTAAAATGAAGTCCAGAAAACTTCAAAGTACAAAGCTGATCTTTATATATTAACCCCTCTCAGCTTGGGTGTTTAGATTACTCAAGCAGGTCTCCAGTTGGCTTTTCTCCAAGTATGTATTCCATATGTTTAATCAAAATGGCATATGCGCATTGGGTATTCTCCAGATTTTGAAAATATTTCACCTGCCCTCAATTGTCTAAGGGAATGGAGTAGAATCTTATTAGAGAAAATTTTGAACCTCTGTCTTATTGTAAAATACTCATAATAGAACCATCAAGAGATGAATTACTGCTACTGTTCACCCTTTTCCAGGAGGTGTTGAAAACAGTTATTTCTTACTAGGTGATGGTTATAACTTAAATGCCCAAAGTTAACAGGTTTCTGTATAATAATATATCTGTGCAATCCAAACATTTAAAATATCTATTACTGAGAAATAACCACAGCAACTTTGTCATTTTTCCCCATGATCATGGATGAACTGTTATTAATGCTATTCAAACGGAGTCAAGCCATTGGTATCATAAAAATGTGTTCTCTATTTATTTATTATGTGTTATAGCAGAAAATATAAGCTCACAATATTTACTGCTAATTATCTTTAGAAAAATTGGAAACAAAACTATATTTTTCAGAACAAAGTTTATACAATGACTGATGTAAAAGTTTGGAGACTATCTCTTATATTGCTACTATTTGAATGCATTCATTTATGCTTATTATAGCTTGATAATATAAATGTTATTAACCATACTTGTTAATTTACCTGCTGTGGCTGATACTCTAATGACAGTTACATGAAAAATTTGTGTGGTAAGAGTTATTTGCCTTATAAGACCATGGTATGAGTGCTTACTAATTTAAATAGAAATAAATACAACTGGTAGGGTTTATATATTATTTGTTATACCTACCAGTAAATAATGGGACATGCTTGAAAGGTAAGTGGAAAACCTGTCAGAATGATTTATCATTTTGGTTATTCTTTTTTCACTGAAAGTGTTTTGAGAAACTTAATAAGAAAATCATAGTCTTAACATTTGTTCTTTCAATTTTTTTTGAAGTAATGAACAAATTGAGAAAAGAATTAAACAATTTCTATTGCTAATATGTGGTACTTTCATAAATGATGACTCTCAAAAGAATTTTTTGTTAAATACCAAGAGGAGACTGTTGCTTTTGCCAGTATCTATTGTTTTAATAATAAGAAAAAAATGGCTCTAAAATAGATCTTCCCCATAAATATAAAATAGCAAATGAAAAAATTAAAGGGTATAGTGATGTTATTCTAAACCCATTTCAAGTTTAAATACTGCCACAGATTTATTGGTAAAATAAAACTACAAATAACAAAAACAAAACACACATTAGTTACTTGGACATTTCCAGGATTTTTGAAGGCGCATGCTGAACACTGCCTGATTAATAAAAGAGCAGATCTTGAATCATATCAACTCTCTGAATGATATACACAAAATTTCTAAAGTATCCTTAGGCATTTTTGTTGTGACATAATTTAACATAAAACTCTTTGCTCCCAGCAATGATATTATTCTTTGAAGTATTTCTGTTATGGTATTAATAGTATTAGTTTTATACCTAAGTTTCTATTTTACGTAGATTTAATGCCTTTTTCTAATAACCTATTTTTCCAGTTCATTTTATTGAATCCATATATGGGCAGCATTTTAAGAAAGCTTAAGAATTGTTCAAAAATATAAAATACTTATTCACGCATGTGACTATTGAGCAACTCATTTTCAATTCTCTGAGCCAGACACTGTTTTAGATACTATGAAAGCAACAATGTCCTCAAGGACCTTACAGTGTACAGAGCAAGGGAGTGAAATATTCAAGTAAACAGTAATACAATGTGTTAAGCATTAGGATAGAGGACATGAGGAAGGAATTTTTTTTGGAGGAAGTAAGACTTGAGACTTGTTAAGTTACCACTATGAGTTATTTTTTATACTTTTTAAATACATTTTTTAATCTACTTTTCCTTTTTTCTTCTCTCTCCTCTTTCTTCTAATATGGTATGTGATAAATATCTTATGAATTCCTGTGACTGGGTATCAGCCAACACTTAAAAAAAACCTCCACATAAATCATCAGATGATACCTTCTATATGTCAAGGTTCACTCTAGATATAAGTATTTATTATATATTTATTACTATGATACTTAAGCATTTTGACATGAATGCTATTTTATCATAATAAAAATATATCTATGACAAGACTAGTAAAGGGGAGGGCAAGCAGATGTCCTGTCTTGCTCTTATTAAAACAGGTAGATATTATGTCTTGACAGGCAAGGCATGAATGTATTTATGCTCAAATGCTGAGTTGGAGGAAATGCAGAGCTTTCGCTAGTTTTTGGACGGGAACTTGATCCTTTGTTTAAGTAGTATCTATTGTCTTCTTTTTCTTTAAACAATTCTCTAACATAAATGTTACTCTCCACAAGCCCTGATGATTCATACCCACTCCTTGTCCCTGATTATCCATCCACAGCAGTCCAGGGGACTATAGGCTTTCAAGCCTGTGGTATCATACAAACATAGCAGGCATGTGTGTGTGTGTGTGTGTGTTTGTGTGTTATTTTATTTTTTTTTTCCGTATAAAGAAAGTGGCCCTGAAGGTAGTTGTAAAATAGAACTCTTTTGTGCACTATTGAGCAAAGTGTATATTTTTCCAAAATCAGTAATTTGAAGAATAGCAACTA